TTTCTTAGTGGTACCTTCTGATCCGACCTTCTCCCTGCTTTCAAGACCTCTGGGCCCAGCACCCTTGCCAGGCACAGCCATGTGAAATGTGTGTAGGGTGCGTGCATCCTCTCAGGGTGGCACTGCTCTGTGCGGCCATCCCTGCCTCTGACCAGTCCACTTGCCATGCTTGCCACTTGCTGAGGGGTGGGTCAGGAGCTGTGCTGCCAGGCGGCGGCAGGGCCGTGGGCCCTCATTGCCTTATCTTTCTGTTTCATTAGGCTTTCATCGTGCCAGCTAGGGCATACTCATCATCGGGGCTCTGGGAACGAACGGGCCCCACGCCTGGGGTGGCAGATTCGGGGGGGCTCTCCCTGCCCCAGCGGCCTCTGAGCCTCCAACCCAGAGCTCCCCACAGGCCTGGCATGCTTCCCTAGGGCTCGTCCCTTTCCACAGGCTGCCCCGTGGGAGGCAGAGTGTGGGGTCAGTGGGCTGGGAGAGTGGTTTGAGGTTTAAAACCCTTTAAGGATGAGGAGAAAGCGCTCAGGAAGCTCTTGTCTCACTGGACTCCGCAGCCTGCAGAACCGGGGCGAGGGTGGGCCCGCGGGGGAGAGCCACAGGCTCCGTAGCTGCCTCAGCTGGGACGCCAGGCTCAGGGCCTCGTTCTCTTTCCTCTGCACGCCGACAAGCAGCTTTCTGTCCCTCCTCCCTCATTTTACTTTTTGCTGCCTCCCCCATTCCCGTCCATTTTCTCCCTAGAAAAGTCAGGTACTTAGCTCAAGCCAAACCTTCTCAGCAGCAAGGTGGCCGTGGGCAAAGCTGGCACAAGAGCTCCCGGTGGCAGCGCCTGAGGGTTTGCTCTGGTCAACAAGGCCTCGGCGGCCCCTTGCCTCTGCTTTCCCTCTCCTAGTGCACGGGTGCCCTGGCCCATTCCAGGCGCTCCTGTGCCCACACGTCACCTGCATGCCTTAATCTTCCATTGCTGGGGTGTGGCCTGGAGTGTCCCTGGGCCAGCTCCTCTTCACGTCTCCTGTAACTCAGAGTAGCCGCCGGCCCTGCAGGTGTGGCTTAGTGTTGCCCCGCTCAGCCTCCAGAATGGGACTAAACGAATAGCTGAGAGGCTGGAGTTAGGGACAGTTGGCAGAGGTTAATGTCCTCTCCCTTTTATGAAAGCCAAAGACCCAGCTTGAACACTGCTGCCGCTTTCATGGTTACGAGCTTTCCATGCCTAGGTTCTGGGGACTTTATCTAGGTGTGTGTATTTTTAAACATTGTTGCCTGGTACTGGGCATGTGCTGTCTGCGCCCAGGCCTGTCTGTCCACACCCCCTGTTCACTGTCTGTCTCCCCCTGGGCACCTCGTGAGATGGTCTGAGACAGTGCTCTGTTGATTCCTAGGACTATGGCCCACCACCGTTGTCTTCTGCCAGGAAATGCAGTTTAAAAATGGCTAAAGGTGGCAGAGGCCAGGAGGTTGATAGATGATCTTTTCCTTGTTTTATTTGTTTATGTTTTGCAAATCAAATGGGGGTTTTAAATGGTCATTTAAACTCTTTTCCAAATAAAGGTTTACCTTTTCCCCCTACTGTTGGTCATTTTATTAGGACCCAGAAGGGCACAGGCGAGAGAAGGCCTGCAGAATGCAGTGGGCAGAGAGGAAGAGACTGATCCTGCGGTGGGGTCTTCCGTCCTAAAGCTGGACCAGAGAGAGGCGTTGCAGTCTCCCTCTGATAACTGCTCTGAGGCCTGGGAGGAACGGGGCCTGAGCGAACTCCTGCCCTGACTTCTGTGGGGTGCAGCTCTCTTCTCCATCCTTGCAAGGCTAGAAAAGAGCTCTTTTGCTCCTTTCGTTCTTACTCCGTCTGCTGCCCCCACTCCACACTGCATTTCAGGAGGGTCAGGCCGCAGTGGACCAGAGGCCTTCTCCTGGTCAAAGCTTGGCAGCTACAGGAGGTGTGATGCTGGTGGCAGATGCCTCTTGCTGAGCTTTATCTATTTCTGATCATCTCTTTTGCATTCTGGAGCCAGGGCTGAGCTGTGGGCCATCTGTTGCTGGAAGGGTTTCTCTTCTTTCCCGGGCCTCACTCTGCTGGTACTTTTGTCTTCCTCCAGCCTCCTTATGCAGCAAATCCACCAAGTCCAAATGCCCATGGGAAGCCCCGAAACCAGGCGTGGCTTTCTGCCTTATCTGAACAGAATCCCAGACCCCACACCTCTGAACCAGTCTGAGAATCTGAATTATTTAAAGCTATCTGGGGGCTTCTGTTGAACCACCTGGGTTGGGATTCAGCAGGAGAAAAACCTAGGCAGGGATTAGAAACCCCACTTGTCATCTTGGCCGGGTCACTTGGTGACTGGGTAGGTTAACCGCCCCCTGTCTCAGTTCAGATATCTCGGTGAAATGGAAATTAAAGTAATAATCCTTTCCACTGGCGAGGAATTTTCAGACCTGAAATTGCGTTGTTTGGGCTTTGGCAAGCAAGGGATGCGGAGAATCCCAGAGTACTGTTGGTGGGAGGGGAGGGGGTAGTTCTCCCGGCAACGCTGGACGGCTGGCCCATGGCTGGTACTTCATAGCTCCCGAGCTTTGAGGTGTATTTCCAGGGCCCTCCGTCCTGGCCTGGAGGGTTTCCCCGTAATTGCCTGAGTCACACAACACGTGCACAGCACTTTGATTAGCAGTTTGCACGGTGCTTCCATTATCAGTGGCCAGTAGCACTATGAGGTGGCAGTGCAGGCGTTCACACAGTACCCTCACGTCTCAGGGAACAGAAATCCCAACTAGGTGAGTTGAGAATCTCCTTTGCTTTATTTCCTCCACCTCAAGCTCCTTTCCAAGAGCAGGAGAGACAGAATGTCTTGTAAGGCGGACACACGCGGGGTGGGCCTGGGAAAGGGAGCGTGGACGCAGCTTTCAGCTGGCGACCAAGAAGGGAAGCGAGAGCTGGGTGCTGCCCGCTTCTGTGTTTAAACTCTTTCTCTCTCCAGTTCTTGCCCTGGAGTAGCTGCTAATGAGAGGGTTGCTTTTGATTGGTTACGTAATGCAAAGCGTCACTCCTCTGCTCCCGGAGTAGGAGTGGCCCACCTCTAGTTTCCACTAGGCCAGCGAGCTGACCTGCGGCCCTCCGCTTCCAGACTCCTCCTGGTGCAGGTGCACCGCTCCTCTCCTTTTCCCTCCCCTGCTGAGCAAATGGGCAAAACACAGCCGTTCCAGGCAGGGGCCAACCAGGTGGGGTGCAGATCTCCCTTGCCTTAGGAGAATGTGAATTTCACTTTTTAAAGGGAACTCTGCCTTCTGCCCATCCGCTCAGCTCCTGTGCCCCTAAGGCCCGACGCCTCACAGCTGCGGAGAGAATGGAGTCTCTCCTCTTAAATTCTTGGAGGTTTTGTTTTTCCCCCAAGCAAGTCCTTTCTGCCTGGGGGTTGGAGCGTGTGCACGCTCCCATGTAGGCTGGCCTCCAGAGCTGCCTCTCCAGCTGACCTAAGGTGGCCCATCTCCGCCACCTGCCGGGCCTCAGCAGCTGGTCCCTTCGCCCCCTGGCAAACCCTCAGCAGCCCGCATCTGGGCCAGGCAGCTCGGCCTTTGATGTGACCACCGCTTCTTGTCACCACTGCCCTCCACGGTAGCGGTCAAGATGTCAGATCCTGGCAGATGGGGGTGGCAGAGCTTCAACCTTTGCACGTTCAGGCCTCTGCAAAGTGCCACCTCCATCCAAAGGTCCCACCCAAATCAGTCACACGCCTAAAGCAGGCAGGCACATGCCGTTAGCCTGAAAGAAATGGAGTGGCAGAAAATGAACTAAGCCGCCCCCAGTAACTTGGGCTCTGATCCTCCCAGGAGTCCACAATGACACTTACCTCTGTGTCAGTGCTAAGAAACTGGCCAAGCAGTGTCCATGATGAGCCTGCCTGACTCATGGCAGACTCTCGCCCGGCACTTACCCCGCCCTCGTTTGCACGAGCAGTCCAGGGCCACCATGTACGAGCCCACCTCACTGAACGCCACCAAGAGGCCCTTTACTTGGTATTTTAGCTGGACTTGAACGTGTGAATTATAACAGTGCCTCTGTGTAAGGGCTTACAATCCAAGATATTCACCAATTCTGGTTACCTTTAGTGCAAGACCCTTTTCTGGTATTATTTAAACTGGATTTAAATGAGCTCGTAAGTAATAAAACTCTCTCTCTTTGATGGGGGACAGCCCAAGATGTGGATTCCAAAGGACGGCCTCTCCTCTCTCCAGTAACCCTGTCTCACCACCACGCTACTGAAAATGAGGGGTCTTGTGCTAAATGACACTTCTGGTCAGGACTTTATGGCCATGATGAGAAGTAGGAAATATCCTATCTCCCTTAGAAGTTTTAAGCTGAATGAAAGGAGAGCAGAGAAATGGGGAGGAGGGGACAAAAGTGAAAAGTGCTGTGGGACCTGAAAGATATCTCTGTGCAAGTCTGGATGCAACTGTTTGGCCTCATCTTAAAGCACGGGAAGACGTCCAGAGCCGGAGGGATGATGCAGAGGGAGGGGTGACGGGAACCAGAAGTGTTTTCCAAAGCTGTAGCTTTTAAGCACCATAGATCCCGCACTGGCCACTGAGATGAGATTTCAGATCCTCGTTGCTATGGTTTCCCGAAACAACCTCATCTCCCAAGAGAACACTCACCCTTCCTCCTCTGTTCCCGATGGACTGCTGGGGACTAGGACAGGAAGAGCAGGGCTCTGGAATGCATCCTGGGAGCAGACTCCGGCCTCCAGCCAAGCTGGCTATGTGAGGGAGAAGGGGTTCATTTACAGCCAGCAGGAAGGATCTCCAGATCAGGATTAACAAGAGCTCAGCGGCTTCGGCAGGCTGAGGGTGACAGTCTGGGGCCCCAGAAGCTTCATTGCGACTGCGGGGGCTGCGAGGTTTTCTGTTGGCTGGTTTGGGGCTCCCCTCACCTCTGGTCACGTTCTTCCTAGAGCTACCAGTGGGCCGGGCTCCAGCCCCAGCTTCCAGAAGAAAGGAGACGAGGCTTACACGTATGCAGTGGTTTCCGCCCAGCGCACACAGCGGAGCTGGGGGCACTTTATTCATTTCAGGGGAAAGTGAGAACAGGAATGAGACGAAGTGTAAAAGTGAAAGGGGAGGGCAATACTGATATGAGAAGAACAAAGCCTAGGACCACACGCAGCCCAACACAAAGTTAAGGGAGGGGGCGGCGCCATCACCAGGTCTCCGGGACAAACACACTGGCTGCGTCTCTCATCAGGCTTTAAGAAGGGAAACTCGGACTCCGGAGCACCAAGACGGGGCAAGGGGTCAATCCTGACGGACTGGCAGCTAGCACTGGGCAGTGCTGCCTGGCCTGGAACAGACCTCCTGCCTCCCAACGCACACTCCTCTCCCTGCCCTTCACACCCGGTTCTCAGTGGGAACAGGGACGTGGGGATTTCAACACAGTCGAGCTCTTGCACAAAGAACACAGTCAATATGCAGGCCCAGCTCGCACGGCCCTGCATTCTGAAGCCAGAGGGTGGGCCTGGGGATGCAACACAGCTAAACCAGAAAACATCCCAGCAGAGAACCAGGCGCACAGGGGCACACAGGCCTCTGGGCACACTACTGGCCAGAATCAGACTGTCCCAGAGCCAGGAAGTCAAGTCGAAGCTGGAAGGGGTGGGGCATGAGATGACAGAGAGGGCTGGAAACCAGATAAGGCCAACCTCAGGCTCTTTCTTCTGCTCAGAGCCCTAGGCTTCATCATCTCGGCCCTTGGGCCGGGGGCTGCTGCTATCCCCCCTTGGCCACGCCCAGGAAGGATGGGGCGGCTGGCGTGATGGGTGAGGGGACGTGACAATGTGCTGAGGCCATGGGAGGGAGAGGACCGGCAGTCAGGTGGGTGGGAAGGCTCTCTTACCCAGCTTCCCAGTGTTCTGACCCAGCCCTCAGCACAGGAGCCAGGCTTTGGGGAGACCACGTGATCACCCCCATGCGACCCACCCTCAAGCCGCTTCCTCTGACCTCACCTTGGCCCCTCCTCAGCCGGCAGCCCCCACCCCACGAGCAGAGGGGCCTGGCTGAGTGCTAGAAGGCAGTCCTGAGCGGGGTAGGGGGTGGGGGAGCGAGCCCCTGTCCCTCACGGGAAGTGAGATGAGGTGATGGTGACTAAGGCCCCAAAGTCCCTGCCTCTGCGTCCCCGGAAACTCTGCAGCCAGGCAGCCCCAGGGAGCAGAGCCCGTGTAAACACGCCCGCCCGCGTGGGGAGGAGAGGTTGCTACATATGAGAAACAGTTAAAAATAAACTAAAAAGCACCACTGTCTCCTGTGGTGGTCCCCACAGGCCGAGGTCTCCGCTAGGAAGGGGAGTGCTAGGGGCTTATGCGTGTGGGGTCATCAGCTCCCTTGCTGGCAGACACAGTAGGGTACGGGGCTTCATTCGGCTTCCTCCTCCCCAAGACTCCGGGAAGGAGCCTGTGGGTCAGAGGCTTCTGGGCTCCCCCACAGGAGCAGCTTCCCCAGCTCCCTGACCCCAGCTCCCTCGCACACCTCTTCACCTCAAGCACTGTTGTGCACAGGGGCATCTGGGGCCATTCCCCTGCCTACGAACAGCCCACAGGGAGCACCCACTTTCAGACCCAGAAAAGGCCTCGTTTTCAGCCTCATGCCTCCCAAAGTGAGCCATCTCTGCCTCAGGCGAATGTGGAAAGACAGGGACCACCATCTGTGCTCCCCGAAAGCTGGGATGGGATGGGATGGTGAATCAGGGGTCACAATGCCCCTCAGATTGGTCTGGCCGGGGTGTGGCACTGGGGAAGGTCGGGCACCTCCCCAGGGCCCACTGACCCCATTAGGAAGTTGGCGAGGCAAGGGACTGACCAGCTGGCCTTGCTCCTGGGCCTGGCTCTAGGCCAAGAGCTGCTGGTTGGAAGAGCTGCCAGCCCCTGGTGCCTTCCCTGACAGGCACTCACATCAGCACAGGCATCCTGTCCCTCCCTCCCTCCTTCTCTGATTCTCAGGCACCCTCCATCGCCCTGCCAGGCTGAGGCCCGCACTCTCTCTATTCTGCTCCCCTCCCTCTGCTGACACAGCAGCCGCAGGGGGTCTCTGATCTGTCTCTGGTCTGCAGGGAGAGTGAGCAGGATGAACACGGGCAGCTGCCCACTCTGGGAGGGGCCTCGGTGACGTGGAAGCTGCTCCGGCCCAGGCTGCTCCAGGAGGCCTAGAACTTTCACAGCCATCTCTAAGTATCTCTGTGGACTTCTCCCCAGCACAAGCTCGCTCTCCTTCAGAGATTACAAATTGGCATTCTCTTTCATGTTGGGTTTTTAAATTTTCTGAACCGACTGCCAACATTTCAAAATCAGGTATTTCACGTAAAAATTCGGAGTTCTGGCCTCTGAAAAATATCAGACAGTCTGGCAAGGCAGGGCCTGCGCTCTGAGAAAGCTGAGCAGCAGCAGCCACTTTACGGGGTATGCCCTCCTTAGTTGGCCACAGTTCCCACCCAGCCCTGCAGCTCTCCTTTTAATCACCTGGCCCTGTAGGCATTTGAGTTGACAACTCTAGTTCTGATCTTCCCTCTTCCAGGCCCCAGGACCCTGCAGCCTTACAGCCAGCTGCCCCTGCCTCTCAGTAAAAAGAAACCTAACAGTCATCTCATCCAGCTACCCTTCCATAACCTGAATCCCCTCTACAGACCTCTGACAAGGAGCCATCTAGTCTTTGCTTGAATACTTCCAGTAATAGGGAACTCACTAATCCCCAAGGCAGCCTGATTCTAAACTCTCCCCCACATCCTTTTCTCACTTACACCCCCCAGCTCTCTGGCTCTGCCCCTCCTCCATGGCCACACTGCACCCTTGCTCTACACACCTCCTTGTTGCTTGAGCCACCAGAACGTTCCCCCAGCCAACCTTTCTCTACAAATTCTCACTTGCCTACCAGCTATCTCATGCCTGACGTGCAGGCTGTGCAGACTCCAGCTGTTTAGGTTTTCCCCTGACCATCCCGAGGACCCCCAAACCCAGACAGGCCGCCAGATGAGAGCAGGCGGGCCCGGGGCACAAGCATCCTGGTCTGGTCTTCATTTCCCCAGCCAGTGCTGAGGTAAGAGAAAGAGGGGAGCAGCAGTGTCCACCCCGGGGGCTGCCGGGGGCCAGACCCAGGCCTGAGTGTCCCACCCCATCCGCAGCCATGGTTCCTGAACCCCCCAGGTCTGCTCAGTCCCCACAGTCATTCTGAGCCCAGCGCAACTCTGGGCCCTCAGCAAAGCTCAGCCCCTCTGCAGGGAGCCCCCGGCTTCAGCAACAGGCAGAGCTGGGCTGAACAAGGAGACAAGCAGGGGCCCGGGAACTCGTCCCCTGTGGTTCGCTCCTGGGCTCGCCCACAACCCACCCCAGCACGGGGCTGTGCCAATAGGCAGTGTCGGCCCCCATACACCGTCCATGGGGCTCTCCAGGGCCAGGGGCTCCCACTCTTGGGGCAGGTGTGGCCTGTGCCAAGCTCTAGATATGGGCCACAGCGACCTTTCCTAGTGTGATTCCTACCCTGGTTCCCTTTCCCTGGGTCAAGATCCTGCCAGGGCAGGAATAACTGAAAAAACACTTCCGTCCCTCCCCCCGCGCACCACCGTCCCGCCACAGGACCAGTGGGGCTGGGAGGTTTCCCGTAGATAGGATGGAGCCAAATCCCAGAGGGACGCCAGGGGCAGGGGCACCAGCAGAGCCAGTAACCCCTCCTTGCTGAGCCCCATGGCACTTAGATCTCCTAAGCATTAGCCTTCCAGCCACTGGCAGATCCATTCATTTTAAGTTTTTCCCAAATACCTTAAACTTCAGTTGTTGAGTTAAAACCTCCAAATACAACACTAACTGCCTCTCGGCCCAAAGTTAGGGGGCCTGGCCCAGCGGGAGGGGCAGCAGCCTGGGTGGCTGAGCTCGGACACGCTCTTCCTGCTGCCCCTTGCCCCGCCCATCACCTGCCCCCCTCCCCATGAGTGACCGAGGCCGGTTCTGGCAGGTGGATCCTGGCCCGCAGAGGTGTGCGAGGCCGGGGCGCTGCCACCCGCCTCACACTCGGATCTGGTACCCGTTGAGGTCTGGCATGGCTTTGGGCTCGGAAGGCTTCTTGTCACCCGAAGGCCTGCAGGGAGGAGAGAGCAGAGGATGGGGAAGGCGTGAGTCATCCGTCAGGGAGGCAGGGAGGAGAGAGCAAGCGGCGGCTGCCCCTGGTGCCTTCTCCCCACCATTCTCCAAGGTGCCCCAAATGCAGCCATAAAGTCCACGTGGAAGCATGTCTGCTGGAACCCCCAACCTGCCTGTGCTGTCCTGAGTGTAGCCCCTGCACTGTCTTACAGGGTCCTGCCCCTCCCCGGAGGTCAGCGAACCTGGCCACAGTCGGCTGCAACAGCTTAACCTGTAAATCTCTCCAAGGGGAACCTGTTCTCCACAAAAGCCTCCGGATCAGCGTCAATGATGCCGGGTATGGGAGGCATGCCCGGTGCCCCTTAACCATTCCAGAGGGGTACCCCATGAATGACGGCGATATTCAAAGAAAGAGCCAGTTGGACACGCGGGAGACAAATCAGAGGAGGTGGCCTGGCAATTTTAAGGGGCTGCTCTGGCTATCTAGATTTAAGCAAAACCCACAGACTTGTAACGGGAAAAGTTACGTTCAAAGCCATCCACCAGCCGCTACCTGATGTTAAACCTTTCCCAGCGATACTCCTGGGAGAACTCACTCACTGGCAGGGCCCACCCCTCTCCCCTCCCTGCCACAGAAGCTGCCTCAGACTGCTGCATGGCCCTCTTGCTCTGGCCCCAGGGGAACCGGTGGCCCAGGGAGAATCTTCTCTGGGGAAATGGGACTGCATTGCTGCTGGGGCGAGAGGTGTCACCACACCAAACCCCCCATCCCAAATCACCTCCCTCCGATAGGGGAAGAAAGGGAAGGGTGGGACAGAGAAGAGTGGGGGACCCAGGAGATCAGAGGAAAGGAAAAGCCTTTTCTGGGTCCCCGAGGCACGGCCCGTCCCTTACCGCCTTTCGCTGCGGCTGTTCCTGCGGTGGGGGCTGGACTGGCCCCGCTGGGGGGAGGACACGTCCTTCTTCCGGTCCTTGGTTGGGGAGGGAGGGCCGGTCCCTTTGCCAATCTTGGTGGGAAGGAAGAAACAAAGACTCACTCAGGGTGGCCCCAGAGCCCGTCCCACCCTGCCGGAGCCACAAGCCTGGCAGCCGCCCTGAGCAAGACCCAGAAAGCCTCAAGGGAGCAACACTGGATCCTGTCTCTGGGTCTTCCCAAACCTGTCTCCCAGGCCCTAAGCAGCCAGGGCAGTGGCTCCTCAGTGGGGCTGCCCAATCTCCCCAGGCCCCTGAAACAGCGTGGCCGTGGGCAAGGCACCGTGCTCTCATGCGACTGTATGACGCCTTTGAGGAAAGGGCCATTTCCCCATGCCGGGTAGATGTGCCACCTGGGGAAGCAGCCGTGTCTGAGCTTTGGGCTGGGATCCTCCTACCAGCCCCAAGGGTGACACTGGTGATCTCGGGCCAATCAGAAGCTCAGACTGGTGGCTGCGTGTCTGATTAAGTACAAGCGAGAAGAGCAAATGAATCATCCTTATACGGCACTGCCAGCTTGACCTGCATTTTCAAAACACGGGGTACACCACGGGGGTGCTGGAGAGAACAAACAACATGGGGAGTCCTTAGCACCGAATAGATTGGGAATCACAGCACTAAGGACGAGGTAACTATTGGCTCCAACTCTCGACCCAACCAGCTCCCTTGAAGATACACTAAGCCTTGAACAGCAGGACCAGCGTGCTGGGCAGCCAGAGCGACGCAGGGGAGGACCAGCCCCAGAAAGCGACAAGGTCGCCTGCAGCTGGTTTCTGCCTGGGGGGAAAGTGCTGTCACCCCACAAGGTTGTGGCCTGGGAGCTGGCGGGGTTGGGCGGCCCTAGCTCTGACCCCGTGCTGGGGCACCACAGGCACCTGTAACATGCCTGGGTTCCCCATCCGGAGACTGATCTCCAGTCCAATCTCCTCACCGCCTGTGAGGAAGCCTCTGGGCTCCCTGCACCTCAGTTTCCCACCCTGAAAATGGAGCTCCCACCTACTGCCCGCCGGCCTCCAGGGCCGTGGGGAGCAGCAATGGACGTGACAGTACCACGGTCGCGGTTGCAGCACCAGGCTGCTGGGAGCGCAGAGTGAGCAGTGAATGAGTGATGGGGAGGGGCTCAACTCCCAGGAGGGGCCCAGTAGGCCCCCCCCAGTCCAGGGGCCCAGGGAGAGACCAAGATTCTGCCCACTGTTTGGCTCAGGGGCAAACTCCACAGCAGCTCAGCCCTCCTGCTCCAGGTACAACAGCCCCTCCTGACCTGGGCATCGTGGCTGGGAAGGAGGGAGAGGGGACAACCACCCCCATTCTATGCCCATGGTCTGACTTTCCTCCATTTCTGACCTCCTCCTAGCCCTTCACTGGATGTTGAGTGTTGGGGGGGTCAAGAGCCAGGTGGTGGAAGCTACTCACCATACCACCCAGCACTCCCTCAAGGCAGGCCATTCTCTCCCACCAACCAGTCTTCACTCTCAGTCCCCTCCACCCGGGCACTGTCGCACCTCTGCCCTTCTCCACATGCCCAAGACCTGCCGTCCACCCAAACCCAGCTCACCTGCTGCCTCCTTCCGGAGCCTGCCCTGGCTGCCCACGTGAGGGGACCCTCCCGACAGTAAGGACCACTGAGTAAAGCCCGACACGGTGTAAACTTGACACGGGTCACCTCCCTTGCTCCTCACATCACCTCTGCGGGGGGTGGGGGCAGCACACCCTGGAAAACGGGAGCACCAGAAAGCAGCAGCCCCTCCATTTCCACAGCCTGGCCCGGGGCCTGCATGCCCGTGGGTGGCGCGGGGGCCCACACTGACCTTGAGCCGCATGTCGCGGGCGTGCCGCTCCAGCTCCTTGCGAAAGTCCTCGCGGCCCAGCCTCTCTACGTCCAGGACCGAGTGCTTCCACTCGATCTGCTCCACGCTGTGCGGGTCGTGGGACACACACTGGCCCAGCTTGACCTTCTTCAGCACGTGCCAGCAGCGGCCGTAGGCGGCCTCGTAGTCCAGCACGAGCTCGCTGAGCGTGCGGAAGGCCGGCGGCTTGTACATCAGGTCCTCGCGCCGGCTCATGCCCAGGGCGCCGTAGCGGCCCCCGAAGTTCACCCCCAGCACGATGTGGCGGAAGTAGTTCCCTGAGAAGTAGGTCTTGAAGCTGATGGGGAAGCGTTCCAGGGTGGGCATGCTGTTGGTGAGGTAACTGGCCATGCACCCCAGCTAAGGACACGGCCAGGGAGAGGCACGGGAACCAGCAGACAGACAGGAGCAGGACTGGCACACCCCCCAGCCCACCCGGAGCGCGATGCTGTGGGAGGGGCCCTGCGCGAGTCTCACTTATCGCCATATTCCTGTCGTCTAGCGAGGAACTGAATCTCTATGGATCTGGCTCTCAGAGCTTAGAGGCCGCTGCCATAATGTGAAGCAGGGTTCACAAAATAATAAACGGCAGTCCCTCACCCCAAACTGCAGGGCTTTCCAGAGTCCTTGTCGCTGAAGGAAGGATGAGCGAGGCCTGTGGACCCCACACAGGCCTCCTCCTGCCAGTCACACGCCCATCCTCCTCACCCCACATTCTCTCTGACACTCTCTCTCACAGTTTTCTTTCTCCTCTGGCACATGTTTCCTCCCAGATGCAGACAATTCTGCTCTCTCTCACTGCCCACCCCTCCATACACACACACACTGCCCTTCGAATAAAACCAAGGTCATTTGCACGGTCTGGGAGGCCAACACCACCCGGCCCCGCTGCCCACTGCAAGCTCTCACCCCGCCCACCCCGCTTGTTCAGTCTCTCCTTGCACCAAGGCCCCTCTGCACTAGCTCTTCCCTGGGCCCCCGGGGCTGTGCCCCACCTGCACATGGCCGGCTCCTTCTCACGCCTCAGGCTTGGCTGTCCTCACTGGCCTCCCTTTCTCAGGCGAGTGCGCTCTGCTCTTTATTTCCCCCACAGCACACTCACCACAGTGTGTCCTTGTTTTACTTATTTCTTTGTTTGCTTGCTTATTTTCTGTTTCCCCTGCTAGAATGTAAACTTCTGAGGTGCAGGGACCTTGTCTGTCATGCTCTGTGCTGTAGCTCTGGGGCCCAGGACAGGGTTAGCACATCCTAGTTACTCAGTAAAACTCTTCTGGAATGAATGAGTAGAAGGAGATGAACAGATAAAAGCTTGGAGCAGGTCCCACGGACAGATACCATGCCAAGTGTGCGACAGGCACCGTTCCTTCAGTTGTCCTAACAACCTCATGAGACAGGCACTGCCATCATCTCCTTTTGCAGAGGACGACTCCGAGATGCTAAGGATGCTAAGGAACTTGCTCGGGGTCGCACAGGGAGTTGGCACCAGAGGTAGGATTCAGGTCCAGATACTCTGTGCTCTCAGCCACTCCAGCGTGCTCCCTTCAGCACCAAATGCATTCTAACGCTCCTGGGCCCGACTCCCTGCAAGTGGCCGCGGACACAGAGACGAGGAGGCAGAGGCACAGGGGGCAGCCAGGAGAGACATGGGGACAAATTCAGTACAGCGCCCACCATGTGTGCAGCGACCCAGGGAGCTGTGGCAGTGCTGCGGGGACACCGGGGAGGGACCCCTCGCCTAGACAGGGGCTGCCCTTTTCTTCCTGCCCACAAGTCACCAGGTAACTTCTGAAGGGCCTCTGGGACCATGTGATCCTGCCTGGACCAGCTTCTCAGTGTGCTCTGGGAGGAGGGGAGCAGAGCTTCCCTCCAACAATGTGGGCAGGAGCCCCACTTTGGTGTGTGGCCCTGAAGGACGCATTCGCGTGGGCCCGGCCTCATGCTCCTCCCAGCAAAGAACCCGTAGGCAGGGAAATGCTTGTCAGGTCCTTGGAAATGGGCCTGCCCAACTGTCACAGCGGGGTTAGCTCTCAGGACCTCTGGGGGAGGGGGAATAGACCCTCCCCCCACAGCCCCTTTGGATAACTTAAGGCAGGTATGTCTATGGGGGAGGGGAGAGGGGAGTGCCCCTCGGATCACAGTGCTCCTTGGGGAAGCTGCTTGTCACCTTGGACCATTATCTTCTCCTCCTACCTGTCCTAGCTCCTAGGGAGCACAGTCCTTGCTCTGTTAGACGCCCTCCCCCTTGCCCTGCTCTGCTGTACCCAGCCAGGCACCTCCACTAAGGGTGGCAGACAGAATAGTTACAAGCCAGTAGGGCTATGAGAAAGAGGGAGCAGTGAAGGGTGGGCAGGGATGACACAAGATTGGCCTTGAATTGGTAACTGGTGAAGCTGAGCGATGGGCACTTGGGATGCATTACATTGTTCTATGTTTGTACACATTTAAAATTTCCTATAATAAAATAGTTTTAACAACAGGGCAGGGCTCAGGCATGGGCCAATTAGGACGGAACTGGCCATAAACACCTGCCTCCTCCCCCTGCTGTGACTATGGACACTGGGGGGCCCTCTCTAGGGAGCTTGTCTGTCCCACCTAGTACCCTGGTGACCCAGCTATACGCCCCAGTTCTGCCCTTTGGGGGGGGTGACCGAGAAACCCTGCTTGGTTTTTGCTTGTTTGTTTGAAAGGCAGTTGTGTCTCAAAGATCCCATCCACTCTCTCCACAAATCAATGCGTCGGAGAACCGCCAACATCTGGGCCTTCAACCTGCTTCTCCCAGACCGTTTGGTTCCTGGCAATGGCACAACAGCCTTTGTGAGGCAATGTGCCCTGATCAGAGAACAGGGTTGCTGTGTCCACGAGACTCAACAAAGAGCTGCCTGGAAAGGTAGCAACTGAGGCCTGGGGGACGAAGCCCCCTTAAGCTCCTTCGCTTTGGGGCCAAGTTCCTGACTACTGGGAGAGGGGGCTGGGAGGGCCCCGGAGCCCACTCAGCCTTCCTCTTCCAGGAGCAAGCCGGGGCCCCCCTCCCAGACCCGAGAAAGGATACATTCCCAGGATCACGGCTTCCAGGCATTTGATTGGCAGGGCCTCTTTGGTCATTTCCTTGGCCAGGTCCATCAGCCTGGGGGGAAGGGAGGCGGAGCCATGAGGACGGAGCCTCCAGCCCCTTTCTCTGGGGGTGTCAGAAGTTGGGGCAGGGTAGACTGGAAATGCTAGAAGGACAGAGGCCCCCTTGCCTTCCAAGCTGCCTCAGCTCAGGCCCAGCACCTCTTTCCCCTCCCCCTAGGTCCATCGGGAGCCTGGGGGAGGCGGGCAGAGAAGAGGCAGCCAGTGAAGATAAGGAAGGAGGCCCTTTCCCCTCGTCCCTTCCTTCCTCACACTTCCTCCTCCCATCCCAGGCTCCTGCTCCGAAGACCTTGGGGGGAGGGGCGCATGGAAGGGGGTCATGCAGTCACAGGCAGGTCCTATGACACTGGGCTGGGGCCTTCTGTGATGGTGATGCGGCCCAGCGGGAGAGCATACCAAGGATGCTGAGGATCTCAGCATTGACCTCATCCCTTCCAGAGCTCAGTGGACACGCCTGACCCAACCACGGCTTCTCCAAAGAGCTTGTAATTGATTGCAACTGCTCCCCCACCGCTGGCCTGCTGCCCAGGGCCTGGACAAGTGGTAGCCTGGTGACTCCCCAGCCTGCTCCTGAACTTGGAATTCAGGCCACTTTAGGACAGCCTTTCCCTGAGGCCTGGTTCCTCCTTTCTCACCAAATGGTGCCCCCCGGCCTGGGAAGGCAGCCTGGCCACTGGCTTTGCCCAGGCAGGTGCTGGACTCCTCCCTCCCACTGAGGCTGGAGCTGGGCCCCCAGAACACAGCAGCCACAGGACAACAGGAGCAAAGCTTTGGGGTTAGAGAGGCTGGATTCCACCCAGGGGCTTGGCGAGGGGGTAATTAAGTAATTTAGCTAATAAACCATTTAAAAATTTTTCATGAGACAGTGAACATGGAAAGATTGCGTGTGGAACAAGACGTAAAATTCACATTAATTTTTAAAGCACCAGGTGTTAAGCCTGTGGGCGGCTCCGGGCTGAGCCCCCAGACGTAGCTGTAACATTCACTCTTCACTCTCTTTGGCCCTCGGGACTTCTCTGGGGTGAATCCAGCCAGGGGTCTAACTTGGGTGGTGGAATAGGAAGTGAGAGATGCAGTGTGCTCTCCAGTGGGGTCCCTGCTGCTTAGACACTGGGCCTTGTCCTAAATGACGAGAAGAGCCCAGTAAGGCAAGCGGGGTATGGCACAGGCTCCCTGCAATGGGGGGAGCCCAGGCAGGTGCAGGGAGTGGAGGCAAGCGGCAAGGGCTCTCTCCAGGTAGGCCCACCTCTCAGCAAAAAAAAAAAAAAATCCACATGGGTGAAGGGGGTCAAAAGATAAGAATTTCCAGTTATAAAATAAAGAAGTCATGGAATGTAACGTATAGCATGGTAACTATAGTTAGTAATACTGTATTGCATATTTGACACTTGCCAGGAGAATAGATCTTAAAAGTCCTCATCACAAGAAAAAAAAATTGTAACTATGTATGGTGACGGATGTTAACTAGACTTATTGCGATGATCATTTCACAATATATACAAATATCAAACCATTACACTGTATACCTGAAACTAATATAATATTCTATGTCAATTACACTTCAATTAAAAAAAATGATCCAAGGGTCACCTATGGACAATCTACCTAGGACCACCCTCCACCAGCACCAAGGCAAGCTGGGGGGCTGTGGTCACCACTGTAGCTCTGCATGGATGTTGGGGTTTCCTTTTCATCAAGGGAGCCTTGGTTGTCATCTCAGCCAGAGTTCCCTCTTTATGACATTCTTAGGGGCCCATGGTGGTACTTGCCCCCACTGGCTGGCATCCCTGGGGAGAGTCCCTGCCTGCCTCCCAGGCTTCCACCCCAGGCTCCCGAGGGGCTCCACTAGCCGGGGGGCACTGTCAGCCTCGGTGCAAAGGGACAGGGTGCCCCACGCACTTACCCTGTCAGAGGTCTGCTCTTCTTAATTTCAAAGAACTGTGTCCCTGTGTGATTGTACCTGCAGGTGTGGGTTAAGGGCCTCCCGGCTTGGTCTGGAAGATGCACGTCCCTCTGCCCCGACCCATCCTCCAGATTCTAGGGCCCAGCACTCCCAGGGGTGCAGGCTGGGTGAAGACCCCACCAAGTGCTTCCCGCAAGGCACCCTGGAGGATGCTCAAGTCCTGATGGTCTGGAGGGGAGAGGCGGTCACAGCATGTGAGCTTCTCCTCACCCCACATGGCCCCTCTGTCCTTCTCTTTCATCCTTTTTATCTTCCACTCTTGCCCTCTCCTGGCCTCCTCTCCTAGGTAGGGAGCTGTGGAGCAGGCAGCCAGGCCAGCCAGGGCCGGGAAAGAGGCTGACCTGTGGACAGCTCTCTTTCAACCAGCTGAGAAGCAACATGGACTGAGAGGAGAAGGCTGGGGTGGGGGACTAGCTCAGCTAAACTGCTGGCTGCTGCTCCTGGGCCAACCGCCTCCCCTCTTCGGGACACGATTTCCCTACTGGCAAAGGGAAGGGCTGGACCTGATTTTCAGTTAACAGCCTGGCTTTTCTCCCGCTCAGGACGCATGCCTGGTCCTTCTACTTCTGCCTCATCTGCAGCTAGAAGGGCTGGGGGAGGGAACCCAGGACACAGAGCTCCATGCAGGGCACAGGGGGTAGAGGGGCTCAGAGCAGGGACACGGGGGAGACCGAGGCTCAGGGGAGTCCAGCTATTTCCACACTGGGCCACTGGCTCCTGCCAGGGAAGAAAACCGCAAGGAACTGGGAGACCATTCCAAGACGTGGAAATTACCTCCTGGAGCATAAAATCCTTTTTCTCCTCCATCCACCCCACCCCACCTTTAAAACTAGTTTTTAAACAGCCCCGAAGGAGCTTTCCCTCTCTCCCTCTGCTGGGGCTGGATGGACGGCAGAGGACGTGTGGGCTGGCAGGTCCAGACTTGGCCATCCACCAGAGGGTGGCTCAGGAGACATTCACCCCATCCCACAGAGGAGGAGGAGGCAGGCGCAGAGAGTGGGTCTGGCACTCATCAGATAAAGTCCCTCTGACACCCAGGGCAGGCACGGGCTGCATGTGCACAACTCCAGGGCGTGGAGATGATGTGTGGACGGCGCTGCTGTGGTGTGGATGGAGGCTGTGCTGCTGACACCTCCCCAGCCCTGTCTGAGAACAAGCCTGCTCGGCCTTTGGACCCGCACGCCAGCCCCACGCCAGCGGCCTTGACCTTGGACCAGGAGGATACTGCAGCTCCCTGATGTAGCGCTGCACGGCTTCCAGGCGCTCAGGGACGGGTGTGGAGGGCTGGAACGTAGGCACAGTCGGTATGGGGATCTGGGGAGGGACAGAGAGCTCTGGTCACAGAGGGAGGACACTGACACGAGCCCCCAGAGAGCCACGCCCCAGAGAGGGCCTCCCTGCTCCCTCGTACCCTAAGCCTCTCTCCTCCGCAGCCCCTTCCAGAGGCTCCTTCAGGCCCCGACCAAGGCCACTCCTCTCCCTCCTGGCATTTGATAGCTGTTCCTAATTTGCAGCTTATGTTGATGGTCCAATTTTATGCTGCTTTAATAATTTTAGAAAAACACAGGTTGACTCACCAACTGTTTGGAATTTTAAATATTCATTAACTTCAAAGCTTAACAAGAATGTTAACGTGGGGGTTAAGTTCATTTGGGTGTAAGGTTCACTCTGGTTCAAATGCTGGGTCAAAACCGGTTGACCCAGTGTCCTCTCCTCTCAGGGCCCTGCCCTGGGCTGGGGGAGCCCTTCCTCGAGGGGTGGCCACACCTGTGGCAAGAGGTGTCACCCACCCCGTATCCTGGAATACTGACGAGGCCTTCTAGGCTCCACTGTGAACTGTCGAGGAATAAGCCAGTGCGAGCAGGCTAGAGGGACAAGCTTTGGGACAGGTCTTGCTGTGGATCTACTTGCCACAGCCAAGCTGCTCTGAGGGGTTTCACGGAGGCACAGGAGCCCGGGTCCCCTTCAATACCTCCCTTTCCTGCCACTCCACGCCTGTAAGCTGTCCTCACAGCGCCTGGCCCAGGAAGAGGGACAGGGTGTCAGGCAGGCACCTCCTGGTGGCTGGGAACTGACAAGCCATGGGCTGCCAGGTTGCTGGGGTCAGGTCAGAAGCCACAGACCCCGAGGCTGTGCCCTCAGCCATTAGGCAGTCTCCAGGAAAGGGACCACGCACAGGTGCTGAGCCCAGGCCGCAGGGCCCCGTCTCTGACCAGGGGAGACCAAATCCTGGCAGACTGGCTGCAATAAGTCAGTGAGGCTGAGGCCGCCAAGCGAAGCATCAACTAGGGTCCTCTGGGATTACAGAACATACTTCTTTGGGCAGAAGAACCAGATTCCTAGAGATAAGGCCCACCCCTCTGAGCTCCCTTTTGGCCATCGGCACTGCCAGCTGTGGGTGGCCTCAGGCTCTTCACATGCAGAGGTCTCACCCTCTGCCCCCCAGACCTCTGCCCAGCCCCCCAGCCCACACGGAGCCCACCCAGCAGGCTGGAGCTGCCGAGTCTCAGTCTGCATGGGCAGGGGTGTGTGTGACGGGACTGGGAACAGCAGGAGCCCCTGTGAACTCGGGGTAGGGCTGGGGTGGGGGAGGCTCGCCCTGTAGTGATGCCGAGCCCACAGGGCACAGCCTTTTCAATAACATGGATACAGGGGGTGGGGCTCTGACATGGGGGGAGGTGACACACCCATGATCACACACACTCGTGTCTGGGGTGCTGCTGAGGGCAGGGGCACAGGACAGCCTCTAACAGATGCGTACTCTTCCAAAGGGTGGAAAGGCAGGACGGAAGGCCTGGTCTGGGAGCGAGAGCGCTGCGTGGACTTCCTCTCCCTCCCTCCTTGGTCCCTTCCTTCCTGCCTGGGCAGTCCCCAGCAGCTGACACCTCTGTCTGGAGGAAGCTATTTCCTCTTTCACATCACATCACTGTCCCAACTGGTGCCACCACTCATAGCCACCGGGGGGATAAAACCCCCGGGATGGGGGGTTCTCCCTCTTCCTGCCTGACCAGCCTGTGCCAGATGGGCTCCAGAACTCTCTGAGGGCCTGGCCTCGCCTCCCTGGGTCAAGGATATGGGGGTGGGGGGTGGGGAGCAGAGTTAGAGGAATTACTTCCAAATTTACTAAACAGCATGGACCCGACCTCCTCAGGTGGAAGGTCCCTGAGAGGCAGGCGGGTCATCACTTCTGAGGAGAGGGCACCCAGGGACTCCCAGGAGCTTGGGACAGACACTAAGTACACCCTCCCTTGAGACACCGCAAACAAGGAGTCGTCTGAGAGTCCTCCGCTGAAGCTCACCAGAGCCAGGTCTGGGCCAGGCCCGGGAAGTACCCACGAGGGCACTGGCACCTGCCATCCAGACAGAGGAGCAAGGAACTAGCTGCTCTGGGAGAAGGAAATGGCTCCAAAAGGTCAGAAAAGACCAGGGATTCACAAGCAGGGCCTTAAAGGCCGCCACCACCGAGGCTTCGCTGGAAGGAGCAGTCTGGCAGCTCCGTGACTCGTGGCAACTCCTGTAACCCCGGCAGACAGCGCCAATATCTTTCTTCTGAATGTTCGCACAAGCACACACACATTCGCTCAAAACAAATAAGACTCTGTATGTCCAACTGACCAGGCTCACTTTAGGACTGGGAGCCTGGATCTGTCCCCCCGCCCCCAAACCAGGAGCCAAGAAATACTTCCTCACGGCTGAGGAGTGGGATTATGTGGGGTGCCACGCGGGTGAGGGATGCCGGCTACCCAGATCTCTTCAGGGACAACCCTCCTCCATACCAAGGCCAAGGGTTATCCTTGCTCCAGGAACCCCCTAAAGTCCTGACATCCTCCCTGGTGGAGCCTGTTCAGTCTAGCTCAAAAAGGAGGCTTGGGGGAGGTGGGACAGCTGAACATGCGGGCAAGAAGCAAGACAGCCTAGAGGCTGACACAGCTGGCACTGGAACCTGACCATAGCCATCTAAATCCCCAACCTGCCATGTGCTGTCTGGCATCAACATCCTTAACATCTCCATGCCTCGGACACCTCACCTGTAAAAGGGGTACCATACCAGAACCAACCTCAGAGCAGAGGCGACGCGCTGCCACGTCGAGGGCCTGGCACACAGCAAAGGCTCAACTCCTGCTCACTGTCACCGTTATTCCAGTGTGTGCCAGAGATCGGTCAGCACATGCTGACCCCAGTGATGTGGCCTTTTTGGAGGAAATGTCCAAATTCGCATTCTGCAGGAGCTCAGTGGCCAGCGCCACAGTCAGAAGACCTTTGGCAGCCAGGCCTGGGAGGAGTGGCCACGGAGCTTTTAAAGGTCGCGGCAGCTTGAGACACCAAGGAGAGATTCTTACGAAGGAGCACACACCGTTCCTGGATCTGGGATCCTTTTGGAAACTGCTGCCCTTTAGTATCTGGTCATCATCCACTCAAAGACGCTGCCCGGAAGTGCCCAGGGGGTGGTCTGCTGCACCCTCACTCCTTGCTGGCTTGGTATTACACGCTCACCTGTTTCACGTGCTTTACTTCACCAACTCCTCCCAACAACCCTGGGAAGTGAGTATTGCTACCACCCCCATTTTACAGCTGAGGAAACTGAGGCACAAGGAGGTTGCACGCCTCCCTCACAGAAGCAGTTGTGGGAGAACCAGGACGTGAACATGGTGGATTGGACTTCTGAGCTCTCTCTTTTTATCACAGTACATGGCAGGGGTCCCAGACTGAAGCACCTGCAGGGCCGGGCAGGTCAATAAACAGGGAGGGCAGGCTGAGAGGCAGTGGGGGGACTACGGCCAACTGGGGGAGGGGTAACCAGTTCCCAGCGCCAGCTGCCATGTGGGATCGCAGAATCTCTGTTCCCACCTCGCTCATTTTCTGAAAAGTTGCCAAAAGTCTAGATCTTTATGTAAAATCTCCTAATTTTAAATTGTGGCTCAAGTTGTCTTTTAAAGCATTATGCCATCCCCAAACATCTCTTGGGCCCACCACGGTGTGACCTCTGTTGAGAATGCCTCTGCACCAGCTCCAAGGGCACAGGCCCTCAGGGAGGGGCCAGCCCAGGGGTCCATCCACTCTGCTGCTGGCATTCTGGGATCCAACCACTGATGTATGCCCGACTCCTCTGCTCCTCCTAGACTCTAGGGCTCCTTTCTACTCTGGGCCAAGGTCAAGGAGGAACCCCACACAGACTTGGGTGGGTTTTCCCTCTGCAACACTTTTCCCCGTGGTTTGAGGAGGGGAAATTCCAAATTTTCCCAAGCCTCTCACAAGCTTCCTTTCACACTACCACACTCCTGTCAATCCTGACACCCCCCGCCCCACCCCGACAACAGCTTCGTTCCTTCACTGATGTCTTTCCTATACAAGAAGGTTGAAGATGACATTACAGACCAGTCACTAATGAGCTCACTGATCTTTTCAGTCTGCAGGAGTGGTGACAGTTCTGCTGGGAAGCATTCACACTCTTCCATAGCCTGATATAGACATAAGCGAGCTGGCTGGAGAGCCATCTGCTAAACACCAACTTGCTCATGTGGGAGAAGCGTGTGGCTCTGGCCTTAGACATGCTCTGAGTGCAATCTAGCCTCCTTTCCCAATGAAGGACATGAAGACAAGTATTGAACATCCAATAACCAGTATTGGTTTGAAGCTTTAGTTTGTCAAATGCTTGAACACATAGTCTCTCGTTTACCCTTCACCACAGTCAAGCCCATTTCACAGAGGAGAAACTGTGGCTCAAAAACGTTGAAGGGAACCGCCAAGGTCACATAGATAGGAGGTGATCCGAACCAACGGTCATAGTCTTTGACACAATACTTTCTCTTCCAGGAATTTATCCCAAGGAAAGAATCAGAGATGGACTCCCAAATTTATGTTTTAGAATGTTGACCACAGTGTTCATTTTAAGAATAAATTATTGGAAACAATGTCCAACCATAACGGAATAAATAAATTAGCTAAATAAATTCTAAGTACAGAGGGCAATTACGTAGCCATTCAAAATCAGTCCACACTTTATTTCCCCTGGAAACATTAGGCTGTCGCTCAACCTTCAACCTTTGAATTCTCTCTTCCCAGAAGGCAATTTCTGATGGCTCTACCAATAACTTGGTAAAAACGAAACAAGCCACTTGTCTAATCCACATTAATTGCCACTCTCCCTGGCCACCTCCGTGCTCTCCTGAGCAGCTACGACTAAGCACTGGACTCTGACCTCTGTCCAAAGGGCTTTTCTTTGGGGATTTCAGGCCACGGCATCTGAGAGTGATTCGTCAGTCTCAACCATAATGTTAAAAAGTCGGGCATGTATTTCCACATAGCGCTGTACAGCACAGGATGTCTCAAGCGGCCTTTCATTCCGCAAATACATGTAAGTGCCTGATCTGTGCCAGGCACACAGGAGGCCTCGGAAAGACAAAGATGAATGAGACACAGCCTTGGCCTTCCGGGGTGTCACAGCTGCAGGAGAGCCGTCATGGAGGAGATCCAGGCATACACAGCAAAGTAATTCAACTGTACCCCTCTCCACAGGCTCTCTTCTAACTGCCCTGATCTAGTGTCCAGGAGAGCAGAGGACCTGGAACCTGAAGACCTGGGGCTGAGTCTCAGCTCTGTCACTCACTGGCTGGGGGGCCCGGAGTTCCGACTTGAGTTTTCCTCTTACCCATCTCTAACGTGGGGTCCCAGGCAGCACCTACTTCACAAGGCTATTGCAGAATTCAGCGAGGTAACACATGAGCATACTTTCTCCACATCAGAAGCCCTGGATCCTCCTTAGTCATGCATTACCTCTCTGCCCACAGGCCTCTGGTTTAGCAAATAAGATATCAAGCCACACTCATGTGCTGTACATGTTAATCTGCTGCTCTGCCCATAAACGTGGGCATTTTAAAAGAGATGGAGGGGAGCCTCCTGGAAACAGGGCATGAGGACCTCACAGAACAACCTCAATGGCAGCTGAGAGAAAGTTCTTCTGGACAGGTACAATCTGTCTGTAATTTTAAACCCTACCGTGCCACTGGTCCCCTACCTCCCCAAGGAAAGTATGGCTTTACTCTCCCAGTCCCAAGGGCAGGAAAACCCTAGATATCCCCACCCCTCACCCCCCAAACCCCTCACCTTGGGCAGGTCTGTGGCCCCACGGATCCGCTGGGCCACCTTCTCTCCATCGGGGTGGATCTTGGCCACGTGCTTCCACATCCTTTCCCAGGTGGCCTCATCCACGGGCAGCCCACCCCGGTTGACAAAGAAGGGGATGCCTCCATCTCGCAGGTCCTCTTCTCCTTCCTCCTCTGGCTCATCGTCTCTCTGGGCTGAGGCCCCCTCGCTGGTGTCCAAGCGCCTGACCCCAGAGGGGGCCGCAGGGGCAGTGGGGGCAGCACTGCTGCTGCCGCCACCCCCGACCACCTTCTTCCCCCCTGGCATCCCCAAATTCTTGACGGGGGCAGGAGAATGTATCAGGAGGCAGGAAAAAGTAGGTGGCTCACAGGAGGCCTCCCACACACCAGCTGCAGAGACAACACATGGCCAAAAGAGTGCACGGCGCCTTTAAGAAACCAGGGCGTGGCTCCAGTACAATAAACTACTACTAGATAAGAAAAAAAATCAGTGCCTCAACGAGGTTGGGGGGGGGGGTGTGTGTGGGGGGGGTTGGTTGTCCGGAGTCAGCCTTAGAAGCCTCGTTCTGTTTGAAAAACGGGATAAAGAGAACACCCCCGAACTTGGCAGCCTTCACAAAGCATCCCCATTTGACAGCGAGAACAATAACGGGCAGCAGTCTGCACTGGCAGAGAGGAGAAAAGTCAGGGAAACTGAGGCCAGACAGCTCAGACCTGCGGCCACAGAAAGGGTCAAGGCACGGATGCCCCAGGTTCCAGTTTTGGAGAGAACAAATTCCTCTACAAAATATCGCACGTTCACACCTGCGCGTGCTCTGGGGGGCACCGAAGTGACTCCAGGCCCCCTCAGCTCCGAGCCGGGACCCCAGGACGGGAGGGCGGCGAGGGGGTGCGAATTCTCCGAGGTGATGAGTCCGGGAGCCAAGACCCGCCGCTAGCGGGGCGCGGGGAGGGGGCGCGCGCCGACGCGCACATTCCACGCCCGCGGTCAGCTCCCCGCACAAAGTGGGCTTTGTCTCAGCCCCCCGGCCCCTCGCCCCCGGGAAGCAGCCGCGGAGCTCCCAGAAGGGGGAAGGGCTCGGCGGGGAGCGCCCAGGCCCCTCGGGTCCCCAGCCGGGCGCGTCTCAGCGGGCGGACGGCGGGCACCCGGCGCCGCGCTGCGCCACCCGAGCCATCGCGGGGCGCGGGTCCCGCTGCGGGGCCCGGGGCTCAGCGGGGCCGACTCGGGCGGCGCGCGGGGGCCAGGCTGAGCTCACCGAGCGGCGGGCTCCGACCGCGGGGTCGCCGCCCCCAACTGGCTGCAGCATGGGCGGTGGCGCGGCCAGGGCGAGCGAAGGATGCTCCGCGGCTGCTCGGGGGTGGGAACCGCTGCCCCGGCTAAGGGGTGGAGGAGAGATCCGCGGGCGGGGGAGGGCAAGCCCAGAGGCTCGCGCAGCCACGGCCCGCCGGGGAAGCTGGAGGCGAGTGACAAAGCCTCGGCGAGCGCCAGCGGCGCTAGTCCCCGGAGAGCAGCCCGCGGAGCGCGGGGTCCACGCGCAGGTCAAGGCTCCGCAGCTCGGGGAGGCTCGGGCCGCCGCGGCCACTCCTGCCCTAGGGCCCAGCTGCCGCCGGCCGCGTCCCCAGCTCGCCTGCCGCCCACCCGGCTCGACTCCGGCCCGCGCCGCGCATGCGCTCCGTCCCCCCCTTAAAGGGCCAGCGCCTTCCCGCCCGGTCGTCCGCCTCCCGAGGCCATCCCTCCGCCCCAAGTTATCTCTAGGATGCGAGTGGGCTTTCGCTCCCCGCTTACCCCTCTCTCAGCGCGCCCCGCAGCCGGTGCGGAGCTGCGGAGGAAGTTTACGACGTGCCACCCAGAGCGCAAACTCCACGGAGATTCCGGTCTCGGAAGGCCCGCGGTCGGGAATTTCCTAAGGGGAGTACCTAGCAGGGGTCCTGGTGTAGAAGTGAGAGCACTGACCTGGAAGACCGGGATTCTAGACCGGATTCAGCGTCTGTTTTCCTGTGGGACATCTAACAGATCACTTCCCTTTGTGAGCCTCAGTTTCCCCCATCCATCAGCCTAGGTTGTCTCACTGGGTAAGCGCAGAGTCCTCCTGGCACAGGAACTCCTTAAAGGAGGTTATCTGGGGGGGGGGGGGGGGGGTTAGGGTCACTACCGCTAGAAGTGAAAGGGTTAAAAGTCACCCTATTCCACCTGCACCACTCGGAGCGGGGTGCGCAGGCTTCGCACCTAGTTGGCCTCCGGACCCGGCTCTGGGAGACCCCGTCCCGCGCCCCCTGCAGGGAGGATGCTGTGTCCCAAGGTCTTGGGACCACAACTCAGGGGAGTGGGAGGCGATGGTTGGAAGGGTTAGCCCATCCAAAAGAAGGTGACAGTACGAGCCATTGTTGTGCGCGGGCACAGGACTGCGGGGACCCAGCGCACCCTCCTCTCCCTCCACAGAGCAGAAACGCGGGAAAGCTGCGAACAGGGGGAGCAGAAGCGAAGAACCACTAAAACGAGACACAGCCTGTGTGCTTTAAGACTCCTCCCACTCTGCCACCGGGAGTTAGTGGGAATAACAGCCTGGTGGAGTAGATGCAGATTCCTGGGCCCTGGCCGGCAGACTCAGATTCCTTAGATCTGTGATTGCTGCGTTTCTCAACTTCCCTTTGTCTGACAAGCTGAAGTTTCCACACCTGGGCTGGGTCAGAGAAGCCTTGGAGAATCCCCAGGTCCTCAGTGGTTTCTTGTCTGTTCCTTAAAGTCCTAGGTGTCTGAACTTCCTAGGTCCCTGGAGCTTCAGTAGCAGCCTGTTGCTGCCTCCAGGGTCAGAAATCAGGGGTGATCAGTGATGGGAAGTCACAGGACTTTAAGAAAGCTGGTTAAGAGGGGATCTTCTTATGTTCACATAGGCAGGAAGATGCCAAGCGTGTAAAAATCACCGGGGACCAACAGCTGCAACCTGCTCGTGGTATAGCTGGGGAAACCGAGTCTCAGAGAGTGATTTCCCCAAGCTCACACAGCTAGTAATTTGAACTGAAACTTTGCTTCTTCAGACACTTAGCTTTGACCCTGCACTTTGCCTCTTGTGCTACTTAAGTTGTGGTGGTGGTTCTAAAATATGTTTTCAAGCTCTTTATCACTTCTTTCAAAAGATGGATCTAATTCCCCTCCCCTTGAATGTGGGCTGAACTAAGTGACTGGCTTCACATGAATAGAATGTGGCAGAAGTGATGCAATGTACCTCTTAAGACCAGGTCATAAAAAGGAGACATTCCTCCTGTCTCATTCTTACTCTCTCAGCACACGCACCCTGGGAACCCAGCCAGTATGCTGTGAGGAAGCCCAAGCCACGTGGAGAAGTGGCGTGAGGTGTTCTGGCTGATGTCCAGTTAGGCTCCCAGCTGACAGCCAGCATCCATCACCAGGCAGGTGGTGAACTGAGACGATTCTGGCCCCCAGCCCTTGAGTCTTCCAGCTGAGATCCCCGACGTGGAGCAGGGACTGCCAACCTCACTGTGCCCGGTCTGAATTTCTCTCCCACAGAGTTTGAGACATAAGAAGTGATCATTGTTGTTTTAAGCCAGTAAGCTGTATCTAATGCAGCATTAGATAACTAATAACTGTGGGTTTCCAGAAATGACAAATAAAACAGATTTGGGATACTCATTCAAACAGTAAGTCCTTATGGAGCACCTCCTGTGTGCCTAGCTGTGTACTAGGCACTGGGGATACAGTGGTAAACAAGATGGACATGGTCTTTGCGCCATTAGGGCTGATGGTCTCCTAGTGGAGGACAGGGTTACATGATTCCAGTAAAGTGCTTTGCCAGAGACTTAGTACAGGAAGCTATGGGACTGCTCACCCAGGGCAACTTCCCAGTCAGGTGAGATGCTGGGGAAAGAAGAAATGAGTTGGGTACAAGGCCAGCAGGGTCAAGGCTAGTGAGTTTTCTGGGATGTGTTCATAGAAGTGGGAGGGGATAGGTGTCAGGAAAAGTGGAAGGGACATGAAAATAGATTAGGAAATGGTAAAACTGGAAAGAGATGTGTCTAACTCAATCTCACTTTAGTTGAAAGCCCAGAGAGTTTAAGTGTCTTGCCTGGAGTCACACAGCTTGTGAACCGGGGCCAGACACTGGGTCATGCATCAGACCCTCCCATGATTTCCCTACATCTATACCCAGAGAACCACACTTTTAACAAACACTTGGGTAACTCTTTATTTGGCTCAAAGCTCTTAAGACCATTATCTATCGTTACAAAAACTCTGGAAGAAGTTAGGACAAGGTAATTACCATTTTACAGATGAAGAAATGATGCACAAGGAACCTGGGCAACTTAAGCACCTAGTTCAGGAGCTGGCACATCAGAGCTGCCAGGTGCAGGTGACTTTAATGATGACAGGGATGAGGATGATAAGGGCGCCTAGCTCACATCATATCACTGTTGTTATCGTCACACTCCAGACTAATGTTTTAGAAACTAATACACAGTGTCTTAGGGCATCAACATTGGTATTCAGCTGTACCAATTCATCTTCTATTCTTGAGACACTGAAGCTAGAGTCAAATTCCCGGGGAGGACAGTCTGGCTCACTTAGTTTGGGTCCTGAGCCCACCCCTTGGCTGGAGGAGGGCAAGGCAACTTCATTAGCTGTCCCCAAAAGACTGAAGGCAGTGGAGGCAGGGGGCTTCCCTAAATGAAAATGGGGTGTTGTTAGTAAAAGTGGGATGTGGAGGTGCACAGATACAGATGTGTTTATAAAAGGTACACACTCTAGGGGCTGGCCTGGTGGTGTAGTGGTTAAATTCACGTGCTCTGCTTTGGCAGCCCCGGGTTCGCAGGTTCGGATCCCAGGCGCAGACATAGCACTGCTGGTCAAGCCACGCTGTGGTGGCCTCCCACATAAAATAGAGGAAGACTGGCACAGACGTTAGCCCAGGGCCAATCTTCCTCACACACACACACACAAAAAGGTAGACACTCTGTCTGCACTGTCCAATATGGTAGCCAAAAGTCATACGTGGCTAAGTTTAATTAACATTACAGAAAATTAAAAACTCAGTTCCTCAGTCACACTAGTCACATTTCAAGTACTCAATAGCTACATGTGGCTTATGGCTACTGTATCAAACAACACAGATTCTAGAACATTTCCCATCATTGCAGAAATTTCTATTGGACAGCACTGCTCTAGGATTCTTGGAATTCAACTCCTTTTCTTTTACCTCATACATTGTGAATATGGACATAGCGAAAAAGGTGAGTCAGAATCTTCATTCATTTATTCAACAAACACATACTAAGTGTCTACTCTGAATCATACATCGGTGTAGGAACCAGGATGCCGGGAGGGCTCTTCAGGTCTTCTGGTCCAGTGGGTCTCACATTAAAATCATCCAGGGAGCTCTTAAAAGCAGTGATACCCCGTCCCACTCAGCAGAGATCCTGGTGAAATTGGTTTGGGATCGGGCTCGCACACCCGTAGGTTGGAAGAGTTCCCCAGGTGATGCTAATGTGTAGCTGGGCTTGAGAACCACTGCAATCGGGGCTGACCAGTGAAGTGATTTGCTTCTGATAACCTGAAAACCCGAATCCACGTGGGTCTGATCCTCCACTCTGGGGTTCTTCCGACAAACTCAGAGTTCTCCGTGGCTTTGGCATCTGTCTGAATCGAAAGCAAATTCTTGGAGGAGATCAAGTCTACTCCTCCTTAATCCAAAGGGAATCCAATTCGCTTCAAATACAGTGCCAAAAGAACTTCTGTTTTTCGTTTTGTTTTGTTTGGTGAGGAAGATGGGCCTGAGCTAACGTCTGTGCCAGTCTTTCTGTATTTTGTATGTGGGATGCTGCCACAGCATGGCTTGATGAGTGCTGTGTAGGTCCTGCCCAGGATCCGGGCCTGCGAACCCCGGGCTCCCGAGGCAAAGCACGCAAACTTAACCACTACACCACCAGGCCGGCCCCAAGCACTTCTGGTTTTGAATTGCCTCTCTCTCAAACTGTTTATGTGTTTCATGCCTGGGAACTGCATTCTTCAGCCAAGTTGGAGAAATCCCTATAAAAATAGTCCCCTTTCCTGAGTGCCTGGTGTAGTTAAGGCACTTGACATGCAGTTTCATTTAATCCCCAGAACCCTCTTACGAGGTGAGTTTTGTTGACACCAGTTTATAGATGAGCAAACTGACATGCAAAGAGGCTAAGGATTCTAACCTGTGTCTAAGCT